TAATTTAGCACGGCCAATCCCACCCTAACCTGCACATCCCTGGGCACAATGGGACAATTTAGCACGGCCAATCCACCCTAACCTACACATCCCTGGACACTACGGGCAATTTAGCACGGCCAACCCACCCTAATCTGCACATCTTTGGACTGTGGGAGGAAACCGGAGCACCCGGAGGAAACCCACGCAGACACGGGAAAAATGTGCAAACTCCACACAGACAGTCGCCTGAGGGTGGATTTGAATCCACGTCCCTGGCGCTGTGAGGCAGCAGTGCTAACCACTGAGCCCTGAAGTGTCCAAATTGTGTAGAGCTAAGGACAGCAGAAGCTTGTTAATGGTCACTGAACAGTCCCACCTGACAGAAGAGCAGCCCCTTTACTTGGGTCAGGCTTTTTAAAACATATAAAGGCAATGATTAATTGTGTATGATCTTATGAAGAGAATTCCCATTAGCCACTCCACCATGTTCCTTTAGGGATGAAATGATTTCCATATCTTGGTTGTCATGATCCCGAATGATGCCAATTCATTACTGGTGATCATACCCAACTGATATTTTCCAGAGGGTTTAAGATTTGTGAAAAGGAGTTGAGGAACAGGTTTATTGTATACAGCTGAATGGAGAGATGTGTAGTGAGAATGAATTAAATGTTCAGGTGACTGATGAAACATTAGCCTGAGGGTCTTTACAGTGCAAAAGACAGACTGTAACATTATCCACAGTCAGTGCACCTGGAACAATCCCAGCGTACACCACATGAACATTACATTCATTCAGTATTGTTAATTTTAAATATTTTTTGAAATCATGAGAAATTTCTGGTTCGTGCAAAGCAATAATTCCAAGAAAAATGTCCCAAACTGAGGTGAGAGACATGGCTTTGAGCAAAGTCCCTGAAGGCACCCCATTGGACAGTCACTGCCCCTGACTTCAGCACAAAGGTTAAATGCTGACTAAACAGTCCAGTTGTATACTTTTCTAGTCAGAGTATTCTTTCTAGCCCATAGACCACAAACTCCAACGCGACTGATTTTTTATTATATCTATTTCTCCTCATATCTATTCACCCAGTTTTCACTCAATTAAACCTTATTTAATATATCTGTCACCTAATCTCCAGGACAATTAGGCATCCCTTCAGACCCTAATAGATAACAACAGATTCCCTCTTTTAAATAAATCAATACATACACATTAATAAAAAAAAATTAGACATGAATTTCCTTGTGCATTAAATTTCCAGGCATCTTTCTTCCAGTATGTCTCATTGTTTTTTAGAGCTTGCTCGTTTCTTTGTAAAACAATCAAGTAGCTGACCGCTGCTATCCACACATTTCAATTTAGAGATCTATCTGTCCTCCAGCATCTGTTTTAAAATTGTAACATCTCTTCTCAGTCTTTATCCTTTCACACATTTTGTTCCGAGTACATAATGACTTAGTATCAATGTTGCACTTGATGGGTATTCTAGAATTTCTCCCAATGTTCTCACAAAGAAAAGTGACACCTCACCTAGAGGGAGAGTATCTGCTGCTAAAGTACTTTTCACTATCTTCTGGTCTTTTTAGCTTCCAAAGCTAACTTTTATCTCCCTTTCTCACAAGGACAATTCTGAACCCTCCTGTACTTGAGAACCCATCACAGAGATTTTCGGAAGAAACATCATTAAAAACAAGTAGTTTTGACATGTCCCAACAATGGCCATTTCAAAATACAATGGTCCCTTTTCTAATTTTTTCAATAGTTTCTTCACTCAGATAATGTCTTCCACCATGGGGTTTTTAATACTTTGACTAACTGCAATGGGACAAACATTTTCCAAACAAGATTACTCATGCAAAGTGACACTTGATCCATTCTGCCTGATTTCCAATCCAAAAACAGCCCCTAAAACCTGCCTTCCAAATTTAAATTCTGCTTTAAGTCCATTTATGGCAATGTTTACAGATCCACTACCTTCATCCCACAAAAACCCATCTACATGCATCATAAAGATGCCTGAAAGCCGCTGTTTATTGTGCCAGTAAAACCCAGCAGAGTCTGCTTTTAACTGAAGATAACACAATTTTAATAAGACAGGTCTTACTGAGAAGTACCAAGCTCTGGAGACATCATTTAAACTGTACACACAGTTATTTAATTTCCAGAGAATCCCCACTGTGTTTGGTGCCTCTTCTGGAGGACTTCCATCTCGAGCTGATCTCCCTGCAGCATTAATATCAGTTGATTTACATTCTCAACCAGTTGTTCCTAACAAAGCCAAGAAAATCTTCAAACTTGCTTTTTCTGCTATTGGTGAATATGCCCTCTATCTTGGCCCACTAGTTTTTCTTCAAAAGCTCATGGCATGAGCCTGGCTTTAGTCTGAGATGTTCCTTCAGGAGACACCTTTTCTGATCATATTGCTATGATGGTGCTGGCTGCCCTTTTTCTAGGACTTCTGTATACACCCTGAATTCACTCCAGCTTGTTCATTCTTGCTATTTGGCAGGCTTTATTAGCTTGTCATATAGTTTGATCTTGGCCACTAAGACTTCCCAATCACGTGGATTTCTACTCCTGATGGTATACCTGGTTTGTACTATATTCTGTGACCTTGTTAAACTGCCCCTTTACCTTGCCTTCTCTCTAGTTCTCTGCTACTGTTTGATGCCCCCCACCCCACCTCCCCATTCTTATAATTCCTTTCAACAGTTTCCTAGGCCTCTTCCTAGGAGCATCTTTGCCCTTGGAACCTCTGTTTGAGCTTACACTGTGTTTTCTTGCCTTCCATCTTTGTACTTCATGTTTCCAATCTATGGGCCTAACCTCCTGCCTCTCATCCTGTACATTCATCCAGCTTTTATGCTCACCAGTGGCCTTCCCTGACTTGCTTAAAATAGTCACAATTCTCCATTGACTGGCTCATTCTGGTAAATGTTTGACTTCTGTCCTTTGGGACCTGACGGCTTTATATTGACCATCAGAACCAATCTCTCCATCGTCACAAACTGTCAATGTGACAGTTTGATCCTTGTAGCTGCGCAACATTTGGTCCTGAAAAGTACCTGACTCGTCTTTAATTTCTTTAACTCTTTTTGACTCTGCAAATTTGCAATCCATACCGAGTAATCTTGAAGAGTGTACCCAAACAGTCTGATTCCTGTGCTGTACATAATTAGTATTTTTCTCAGAAAAAGGGTCCCAACCCGAAACATCAACTTTCCTGCTTCTCTGATGCTGCCTGGCCTGCTGTGTTCCTCGAGCTCCACACTGTGAACTCTGACTCCAGCATCAGCAGTTCTTACTATCTCTGATTATTATTTTTCTGTCTTTGCCAGTAACCTTTCCCCAGGGCTCTCCATTCTTTAAAGCCTTCTCTTTATAATACACCGTTTCTCCCTGATTGAAACCCGTTTCTGATGGCCTCTGAAAGTTCGCTAAATTCTTTCTGAGATTTTGGTTTCCATGAAAGCATTTCGACATGCAGGCAATGCAATCAAATGCTCTGAAAAAGTCAAGTTAATTGTAGCCCTTTCCCCAGCCAGGGGATGATCACTTATTATCAATGGGACTTTAGGATTCCTACCAAAAACTGATTGATCTGCATTATATCCTCCCACCATGTGCAGCAAATGCTTCGCACAGACAACCCACACTTATGCGGATCATAGTTTACAGTTGGGCTGATCTGTCAAAGTTTTATGAACCATTTTGTCTATTACTGCATGGTTCCTTCTACATGCCCCATTGCTATTAGGACATTCTGCTGCCTGTTCATACCTGTTCTGTTCATATTTACACAATATCTCTATACATCATTAACAAATACCTCCCCATTATCAGTGAGATGTTTTTCTGGGGGTCCAAGTGTGGTCCCTACCCATTTTTCAATTTCTTTATCCACAATTATTTTCTTGTTACCAACTCATGAAATCTGGTTTCCGAATCTACAAAAGACTTTTTATTTCTTCATTCCACACTTTTACATCTAAGGCACAACCTTGTTGAAATCCCTTGCTAAAGGCAGACTTACTAAAGACTGTGATGGTGTTTCTCAATATTTCTTACAAATTTCACACCAATCACATAGACTTTCCATGAACTTTTCATACTCCCTATTCCTTATTTCTGCATCCATTGCCAAAGCTTTTAACTTTTTCGAAGATGGATGGAAAAAAACTGCCTGTGTAATTTTAACGTAACTGACTTCTTGTCTTCAATGTTTCTACTTCCCCTGATGTCAACATCATTTCTTCTGGAGATGCTATGTTCCGTTAAAGGAATACAGTAGTGTCCTGATTGTGTGAATTACAAATTCACTGATTTTCCAAATATAAGAGCTTTGACATTGTCAATGTCCAGTTCCATCTGCACTTTTCTTCAACTTAAAGATATGAATGTGTTATCATCTTCAAGCCTGATTCTGGTGGAACTGACAAATTCCTTCACTTTGTTCTAATTTCTATTACCCAGAGTCTAGATAGCACGTTAGCCAGTCTATTCCACACACTGTCGATGTGCACCCACATATTCATCACTGCACTGAAACTTCTCATGCCCAATACAATGACCTCTCTTTATCCATATCTCCATTTTCTTCATCTGAATCTTACGTCTTAAGTTAAGTTTTGAATACTGTCTTATACTGTTTGGGACAGTTCATGGTTTAACAGTATTTTGAATCATCACCTAAAATATCAATTGATCACATTCTGAACACTATGGGATTAATTTTCTTATTATACGTCACAAATTCTCTTCACTTCTTAAGATTTTCAAAAACATTTCTTTCTAATTCCTCTTGGTTAAAACTTTTCTTTTACACTGTCCGCTGCAACCACTATTGAGATAAATGCTCTCGTCTGCACATCTACTTTGTGGCCTCCAGTTTCTATTGTAATTAATTATCCTATTTACTCCATGAACACTGCTGGAATGGAATGCTTTACAAGGAGTTACTTTCACTTCTTCCAGCATTTGTTCAAGCAGTGTGTGTTTATCGTGAATCTAACTGTCAAAACTGGAAGTCTGTCTATACTTTTATAAGTCTAACCACTTAAACGTGAACACAGACTGAAGAATTCCCAGCTGCAGTCTCTAATCTTTTATACAAACTACTGAAATCCATTCTGCAAACCTTTACACTCTTTCTAAGTTTGTCAATATATGACCATGCTTCATTAGCAGTTAGCAAATCAACTGTTTGATAAATCTTATTCACGAAAGTTGGCAATGTATCCAAACCTTCCTCTGTGTTCAAATCATCAGGCTCTAATTCTTACACAAAAATCTTTGTTACTTCCTGTTGCAGTGTTTCCTCTGATATAATCTGATCTGTCCATCGTCATAAACTGTCAATGTGACAGTTTGATCCTTGTAGCTGTGCAACATTTAGTCCTGAAAAGTACCTGACACCTCTTTAATTTCTTTAACTCTTTTTGGATCCACAAATTTGTAATCTATACCCAGTAATCGTGAAGAGTGTACCCAAACAGTCTGATTCCTGTGCTGTACAGAATTGTTATTTTTCTGTCTTTGCCAGTAACCTTTCCCCAGGGCTCTCCATTCTTTAAAGCCTTCTCTTTATAATACACCGTTTCTCCCTGATTGAAACCCGTTTCTGATGGCCTCTGAAAGTTCGCTAAATTCTTTCTGAGATTCTGGTTTCCATGAAAGCATTTCGACATGCAGGCAATGCAATCAAATGCTCTGAAAAAGTCAAGTTAATTGTAGCCCTTTCCCCAGCTGGGGGTTTATCACTTATTATCAATGGGACTTTAGGATTCCTACCAAAAACTCATTGATCTGCATTATATCCTCCCACCATCTGCAGCAAATGCTTCGCACAGACAACCCACACTTATGCGGATCATAATTTACAGTTGGGCTGATCTGTCAAAGTTTTACAAATCACTTTGTTTATTACTGCATGGTTCCTTTCTCATGCCCCATTGCTAATAGGATGTTCTGCTACCTGTTCATACCTGTTCCGTTCATATTTACACAATATCTCTATACACCATTAACAAATACCTCCCCATTATCAGTGAGATGTTTTTCTGGGGGTCCAAGTCTGGTCCCTACCCGTTTTTCAATTTCTTTATCCACAAATATTTTCTTATCTTTACTATGTATTGTTATCAACTCATGAAATCTGGTTTCCGAATCTACAAAATGCTTTTTATTTCTTCATCCACACTTTTACATCTAAGGCACTACCTTGTTGAAATCCCTTGCTAAAGGCAGACTTACTAAAGGTCGTGATGGTGTCCCTCAATATATCTTACAAATTTCACACCGATCACATAGCCTTTCCATGAGCTTTTCAACTCCCTATTCCTTATTTCTGCATTCATTGCAAAAGTCTTTTTTTAACTTTTTAGAAGATGGATGGAAAAAACTGCCTGTGTAATTTTAACGTAACTGACTTTTTGTCTTCAACGTTTCTAGCCCCCTGATGGCAACAACAACAACTTTAATTTCTCCATTGGACATATATTTTCTCATCCTTATTCACTTGTGGGGCATGGGCATTGCTGAAAGGCTAGCATTTATTACCCTTACCTAGATGCCCTTGAGAAGGTAGTGGTGAGCTGCCTTCTTGAACCGCTGCAGTCCATGTGCTGTAAATTGACCTTCAGTGCCTTTAGGGAGGGAATGGTATGTTCCATTAAAGGAGTAGAGTAGTGTTTAGGTTGTATGAATTGCAAATTCACTAATTTTTCAAATACAAAATCTATTAACATTTTCCATGTCCAGTTTTATCTGCACTTTGTTCATCGATGGCTAACTTGAAGATGTTAATACGTTATCATCCCCAAGCCTGATTCTCATGGAACTGACAAGTTTCTTCACTTTGTTCCAACCCCTATTACCCAGAGTCTAGATAGCATGTTAGCCAGTCTATTCTGCACACTGTCAATGTGCATCCACTGTCTAACACTGCACAGTTAAAAATACTGGCACCAACGTATTCATCACTGCACTGAAACCTCTTGTGACCAATACAATGACCTCTCTTAATCCATATCTCCAACTTCTTCCTCTGAATCTTCCACTTCATGTTTTGTTTTAAATGCTCTGTTATACCATTTGGGACAGTTCATTGTATTTCAGTATTTCAAATCACATCTAAAACATCAATTGACCACACTCTGAGCACTCATGGAGTTTAGCCTTTTATTATAAGTCCTAAATTCTCTTCACTTTTTAAGATTTTCAAAAGCATTTCTTTCTTATCTCTCTTGATTAAAGTTTGTCCTTGGTATTGTCTCCTGTGAACCATGTCTAGCTGGTCTCACCAATTCATTGGCCATTTTCTGTTGTATAGTCAATTTCCTACTTGCACCTCGAATGCTTTTCAGGAATATTTTCTATCGCTTCAGAAATTTGTCCAAGAAGTGTGTGTCTTTCTGCAAATTTAAATCCTATCAAAACCAGAAGTCTGCACTTGCTACTTCAGCATAGTTTAAAACTTAAGTAGTAGCAAAGATTGAGGAATTCCCAGCCGCAGTCTTGTATACAATCTACAGAATTCCATTCTGCATTCCTCTGTGGAACTATCTTCACTGTATATAAATTTATCAACATATGTCCACACTTCACAAGTCAACTGATTGATAAATCTTACTCGTGAAAATTGGTAATTTATCCAAACATTCTTCTGTGTTCGAATCATCAGGCTCCAATTCTTACAAAAAGAACTTTGTTACTTATCTTCCTATTGGATAGTAGTAAAAGTGCCATCCCTTGTTTCTTCTTGAGTAAGGCTATAATGATGGTTCACATGGTTATCTTATTCATTTGCAGGTCACAAGATTCAATTTGTTAAAACAGGGCTGGGTGATCATACCGCAATAGTTTCCAATTTATCTTCAGCCATCTTTCTGAGGTCTTCACCAAGTCATCCTTTGATTAGTATATTGCATGGTTTTCAGTCCTCATCTTATAAACAGTGAACCTGTGTTCCCACTGGGAATTCCACAGGTTAAAGTACTGGCTAGACAGTCCCATAGATAAACTTTGACCATGTGCTTACATACATACATTCATACTGTTCAATGCTCATGAGGTAATAAGATTTAAGCTGTTTCACACTGTTTCCACTCACCAGATTAAAGACTAATGTTCTTTTCTTCTTTTGAATCAATTTAGGGACAAAAAGGTGAACCAGGCGATATTAAAGATGTAAGTCGCAATTATGCCTTTAACTATCACTGGAAATTCTATTAACTTCTCTGCTTAACCCTTTCGCCTTACCATCTCTTATATTGACTCAGGATGGAAAGAATAGGCACATTGAGGCTATGTTTGGTTCAGCATTTATCAGATCCATAAATTGACTAAAGCGCTACACATAAAGCTGCTGAAGGCTCAATATCCTTGGAATAGTTTCCCCTTTGATATTAAGCTCTCAGATTGAATTTAAGTATTTGAATGTTTGATTTTTAAGGACCTTATTTACTGTAGAAATACTACTCCCTCAGTCTCAATAAGATGCAAATATTGGATCATTATATATTCACTTACCTTTTGTTTCTTTGTCCCAGGTTGTAGGACCAAGGGGACCTCCAGGCCCACAGGTAAGCACTTTAGTGGCAAGGTGCCCTCTTCTGAACACTGTGATGACCTGAGCATTTTAGACTGTGTTCCGACTCTCAATTTTTCCGCTTTGTTTTTCTGTTAGGGACCACCTGGAGAGCAAGGCTTAAGGGGACCACGCGGAGAGAAGGGTGAAGCTGTGAGTGATCTTAATACATTTATTTTTCCTGGTTCCGCGCAAGTGTCGCAACTTTGGTCTTGTCAAGATGTCTTTAGCAAGATGTGTTCCAGCATTTGAGACTGCAGCAGGAATCAGAAAAATGTGTCCCTAGAACAGCAGCTGCTGAGAGCTGATTTGTATGTGCAAAAGTAGCATTACTTCATTGGGAGTCATTCCTGAGAATGTTTGTTGTTTGATCATAGAATCCCTACAGTGTGGAAACAGGCCCTTCGGCCCAACAAGTCCACACTGGCCCTCAGAACATCCCACCCAGACCCATTCCCCTCTAACCCACCTAATCTACACATCCCTGAACACTATGTGACAATTTAGCATGGCCAATCCACCTAGCCTGCATATCTTTGGATTGTGGGAGGAAACCAGAGCACCCAGAGGAAACCCACGCAGACACAGGGAGAATGTACAAACTCCACACAGACAGAGCCCGAGGGTGGAATCAAACCCAGGTCCCTGGCGCTGTGAGGCAGCAGTGCTAACCACTGAGCCACCGTGCTGCCCCCATAAAGTATGGGTTGATAATAAGGAAACCAATCACCCTTGTGTATGATTGAATTTTGTCTTCTAATTTTCTGGTGCTTTCATTCTCGTTGCAGGGTGCGCCTGGTCCACGTGGGAGAGATGGGGTACCTGGAACTCCTGGAAACCCTGGCCCACCCGGACCACCTGGATCATCCGGCATGTCTGACTTTGGCGGAGTAAGTATCGCTGAACTGACAGGAATTTCAGTCGCTCTTTGCTCAATTTACTCTGCTTCTCAAGTCCGGATCGTATCCCTTTTCCATTTAAGTTTTTATTCTCTCTACTCCATGAGGTTTTAAGATGAGGCGACAGTGATTCTAATAACATGGACACCGTGCAGCTTGTAACTATCATTAAGAGTTAAGCTGTCTCATTCACTGAAGTAATGTGCGTACAAACACACATGCAAATGAGAAAAGGCGAGCACAGATCTATGATGCTTATTGCATCCTGACCATGATGTACCTTCTGCATTTCATTGCCCCCTCTGAGAAGATTATTTGCCTGCGTTGTGGATCATAGTTTAGCCTCACTCCCATATCCACGCAGGGAATCCAGGCAGAACCTCTCCCATACTTAACCCAGTGATTTTTAGGCCAATTGCCTCATACCTAGCACTACATCGGAGCAACTAAGCTAGGTTAGCAGAACTGAGAGACAGAACCAGAGAGGTTCCTGATCTTTAAAACTCTGTTTCACGATCAAAACATCACAAGCCTTGAGTTCTAAGCTCTCAATCTGAGTCAAGGGATGCAGGATTGAATTCGGAAGGGAACATAATCTCACTTCATGTTGGCTGATCTGATTTTTTCTTTAAGACAAATGATCGTGCCATGGCCATTTTAGTTCAAGTTGAGGTTGGCATTTTGGCAATGCTGCAAGATGGTTGGCAGCCATTTGCCAACTCGTGGGGCCCTGATTGTGATGTCATTTTTAAATCCTAGAACCAAAAATGTCAAAGCTGTCCAAATTAGTTGCAAGTGCTTTTCACCAAGAAAAAAGTCACAAACAAGTCCCCAGAATTTCTACTTGGGTTAATGCAAGGTAATGATAACACAAAATATAACAGAGTTTCGACCCTGATTAGTCAATAGTAGACATCTCCATGAGTTAGTGGTATCAAATTGACTGGAGAAGGTGTCAATAGTATGCAAAAGTAGCTTTGTTATTTTTCTTGTAAAGTGACTCAGATATATTAGTTCTAGAAATAAGAATTACCTTAGCTTGTGACAGCCTTACGATGAGTCAGCAGAAGTTAGCTCCTGGATTGTATGGGGCACAATTTCAAACATTTACAGATGACACAAAACCCAGAAGCATTGTGAACTGTGAGAAGGCTGTTTGCTTCAAGAGGAAAAGGTCAGGAAGGTGCAATGGTACAAAGAAGTTGCGGATGAAATTTAATGCAGAGAGGTAATTCATTGGGGTAGGAAGAATGAGGAGAAACAATATGAAATGAAGATACAATTCGAATGTGGGTACAGTCACAAGGGGTGGAGGATGCGATCTTGTGGGGGAGCACAGGGCAATCTCCCAAAGATGGTTGACCATGGGCCATAGGGTCCGGAAGTGAGTACTGGCAGGGACAGGAAGGCAGTGGGATTCAGAGTACGCTACCACCCTACCTAGTCAAATTGCCTTTCCACCTCCAGGCTTTCCGTCAGCAAGTACAGCAGAGTCCACCTTTTGTGAGCAAAGCCCTCTGGACTATCTGGTGTGTTTTACAGCTTCAGAAAATCTGCTTGTAAAAATGAAAGGTTAAATGGAGTTCACAACATGCGCCAACACTCAGAGCAGTCACAGTCTCACAATTTGCCTTCCATATTAGTCTTGCTAGTTGCTAAAGTTAGTTTGCACGCTGGAGTAAAGGGAAGGGAAGCATTTGATAACTGCAACAATAAAATATCTTTGCATTTGTTACATTTGTTGCTTGAGCTATATCAGTTCCACCTTAGGTCAGAGCTAAAGAGGCTTTAAATACAGTACCATAAAATTAGTAGCAGCCAAGACTGACTGATTAGAGACAAGGCTTCTATGGCAAGGCAAAGCTCCTTGTAATTCCCATTTGTAATCCAATAGAACAAACAAACTTCAATAACAGCTGTTATTTGATCCCACATCAGTGGAACTAATACCTGCATCTAGGCACTGACAACTTAAATAAAAGCCATAGTGATCTTGTAAAGAAAGATACCCTTCAGCTGAGAGGAGATTTGATGGATATGTTCAAAACAATGAGGTGTCTGGACGGTGTAGACACGGAGAAACTGTTTCCATTGGCAGAAGGACCGAGAAATAGAGGACACAAGTTTAAGATGACTGGCAAAAGCTTTTTCACACAGCGAGTGCTCAGGGTCTAGAATACACTGCCTGAATGGAGAAGGCAGGTTCAATCGAGGCTTTCAAAAGAGAATTGGATGATGAGCTGAAGACTGAAAATTTACAGGGATGCAGGGGAAAGGCGGGGGAGTGGGAATAGTTGAGATGGCATGGACAGGATGGGCCAAATGGATTCCTTCACAGCGAATTAAAATAACAACCTCCTTTTGTTGTGCCCAACAACAGGCCTCAGTCTCCATTTTCTATTTTCCAATTCCAATGGTGAGGTTGTCCATTGTAACCACCGAATGGGCTTGGCTTACTATGTAGGTATCTTTAATCTACTTGCTCAGGCATGTTATGACACGCCTCTGGAGCAGGTGGGACTTGAACGCAGGCCTCCTGGCTCAGAGGTAGGGACACCACCACTGTGCCACACAATTTGGGCCCACATGAACCAACACCAGGACAGTAGGACTGTCAACTTCAACAGAAGGAGGAGACTTGTTCCAACCGTGTGGATTTGTAGCCAGGCCCCCCTAGAGTATGAAATACTAGCCTGTAACATCATGCAGAGCTCCTGATAAGACACAGAATGATGAAACTTTGTAATATTATGCATGCGGATGTAGGATTTTGTTCTTGCTGGCGTTTCCAGCGAAGATGAAATATGTTTTGACAGTGAATCACGGTTATTTTAATCTTTGTTGTCCTCCCACAGAACTTCGCTTCTCAAATGGCACGAGGGTTTGATGAGAAAGCAGGAGGTGCTCAGATGGGTGTCATGCAAGGACCAATGGTAAGATAGGCTTTTATTTCCCAGCAATATTCCAGCATCTGATACCTTTGATTGCAATGCAATGAACATGCTTTCATCAAACAATAGAAAATGTCATGTATTTAACATTAGGTGTCTAAATCCTGCGATAAATCTCTAAGGATATATTGTGTGATGTGTTAAATTAATCCTAATGAAAACCCTCTACAATTTCGAACCCTCTAAGTCCTTCACATATAGCTTTCATATATACTGTGAACACACACATCCTGCCATAGCTACTCCATCACATATCATCCTCATATCTACCCCTATAAACATAGCCTTCACCATTTATCGGTACACATATGTTCAATAGGAGTATGGAACACACTGCCAGGGGTGGTGGGTGGGGGCAGATATGATAGGGGTGTTTAAGGGGCTTTTAGATAAGCACATGGATATGTAAGGAATGGAGGGATATGGACCATGGGCAGGCAAAAAGGATTAGTTTCATTTGGCATCATGTTTGATACACCGTAGTGGGCTGAAGGGTCCGTTCCTGTGCTGTACAGATCTATGTTCTATATCCCAAACAATTTATACCTATTTATAACCCCCTCAACCTACATAGTTATTCAGACATAACCATCAATGATCTTCTCTATGTCTTCCTCACCCTCAAGTTTTGAGCTATTCTGTCCAGTCACTGTTGAGTAAACTGTAGCAGGCTGTCCCATGAAACCTGCCTAATCCATGACTTTAACCCAATCAGATTCTATTGCTGTCAACCTTCTCAGGCAGTAGCAGCCCAATACCTTTCACTATGACCACTTCTCATTGATAGCCGTATCATTTTTCTCTTGCAGTGCTAGTAAAGAATCCTTTTATCACTCCTCCCTGTTTAGCTAGTACAATTCCCACAAGTAGCAAGGAGATCAAGCACAGATCAAGAAACTCCAATTTTCATATCTGTATGTTGCTTTTAGCCACATATATCACAAGGATGTGGAGGTTCCTCTTGATTGTGTGGCTTAACTGGGGCTAAATGTTAAAAAAAATCAAGGGATTTCAAGCACAAATTAATGTGATATGACTCAAAATTCCTCAGACTTTTATACTGATCTAATAGACATCATACTAGAAACTGCACCCTGCCACAAAACTAGGATTACAGTGATATCCCACTGGGATCACGGGATCGGCATACAGCAATATCCCAGTATGAACATGGACTATTGAATTTACCCTGTAGTCTTTGGAAGATTGATATGATTTACTTTTAAATCAATTTTCCCTGCTTCTGATACCAAGCTTGATTCTAAAACATCTCTCCTTCTCATTATTCCTCATTCACTGTCATTTTCAGGACATGGCTCACAATATTGGGATGTTTTTGTTTTGATCCTGTTCTCTGGCCTTTCGATTTGCCCAGTGGAGATTTGGTTAAGTCCTTCGCTGGAAATCCCCAGTCTAATCCTTTTACAGAATTAAGTCATTTCCTGCAGACCACTCTCCCACATGTTTAGGATATAATCATTTTTTAACCTGCCTTTCCTTTTGATGTTTTATTTATATCATTTTGTTTGTTTTTAATGTGTATGTTCTTTGCCTCTATGAGTGCCTTTGGTGTTGTAACCAGAGTTCTTTCAAAGTTATTTCAGCATTTTTCTCTCTGTATATCCCTTTCAAGCACTTTGAATCAATGCCACAACAACCTCCTTTGTGTGCTGACCATTTTAAACCTTCAGTGTTCATTCTGAACAAAGTTGTTGCTGACGGTCTTAAGGTTTTTTTCTTGTTGCTTCTATAAGCTGCAGTCTGCCTCAGGAATGTTTCCACAGACATTCCGTTTCAAAGCTTTTATATCACAACCTAATATTTCCTAATTCTTATCATTTGCCCTGCTTTATCTTCAGGTTTTATTTTACATATTTGGAAGCTCCCTTTACATTTCTCTACAGTCTTTGATTCTATCATACTCTCCTGTCTTCCTGACCCTACTTTAACATTCACACCATCAAATGCCCTCATGGTTTTTTACAACTTTCTATACAAACTCCAACAAGTATAACTGTCCAGTTTTTACATCTTCATGGTCTGTCATCAGTGCATACAACTGAGTTATGTTTCAGTTGAATAATTTAACTTCCAGTTTCACGATAAAATTCCTGTCAGATAAACTAGGATAAATCTTTCAACTTTTCATTACAAGTTTTCAGGGCCTAACTATGCACATCAACTAGGTGTTTTTTCCCTTTTCCTATCTCATATTCCCCAAAACCCTTCCAGGGGAGCAGCTTGGAACTCATGTTCAAATTCTTAAGTATTCTCACAGGATTTGAGAGACATTAATCTCTTACATATGATGTGGATCATTCAAATCCCTCAAATATTTATCCGTTGAGTGATTTGGTCTATCAAATCACATTCACACCTCTCACGTCCCAGGTTAGAAGCTGCATCAGTGTCCATCTTCGGAATTATTTGGGGAGCGCCAGTTCTGCTTCATTTGTCTTCACACGCTGGAAAGAATATAGTCTTCACCACCCGCAACCATTGTTGAAAGTAAACTGGGTCAAGTAAAAAGGCTAGAATCATGGCTATCTAGACTGACACCTCTATATATCCCTCTTTATAACCAGCTGTACCACATTCCCTAGATACTCATTCAGAATTACCTCTACCAATATATATCTGCCTATAACTACCTGTACCCACGTTCCCTTCAGCACACATCCATCCAAAAATACTTAAATCCCTATACATACATGAAGCTTCATACAAATTTGTTCTTAAGTATGTGAACATGCAAGTTGATCTTTCATCTCCCCATCCTGATGTTGCTCCTTGTTACTGAGTGAATCTAGATGACATTTTAGGCAATCAGTTCCACACATTGTTGAGGTGCAACCTCTATCTAGTACAACACAGTTAACTGAATCCATGACCACCAGAATAAAGCTTCCAGCAATTCATGTTATTCCTGCAGACTGATGATTATCATCATTTTGTGCCTTCAATTCTCTGAGTCTTGTGCCACTTCACAAACCTTTCTGTTTCACTCTGGGCAGTTCATCGCATAATAATATTTTGACTCTCACGTCTGAATCACCTGTAAACTGTTCCCCAGGTATACATGGAGTTCCTGCATCTGTACACATGTGACCTTATTTTGTACAATAAACAGAACTAACTCCAGATCTATGCATAAGTAGCGTCATACATCATACATATTGAACCTCTGATCCAACTTACAACTAGCATCATGCCTATGAGTATCTCACCTCCAAATCAATATACAATCACCCATCCCAAACTACTGCCTAGGTCTGTATAATAAATCACGTGTTGATAATTACAAGCACATACCACCACTAACTGGTTCTCTTTTCAATTTCTAGGGCCCCATGGGACCCAGAGGACCCCCAGGACCCACAGGTGCTCCCGTAAGTATCGATTACTTGACCCTCTTTATTGTAGTCAATATTTAAGGACGAATGTAAAGAGTATAGCACAGGACTGCTTGAAGAGAGTTACATATAAGATAAAAGAACATCCTGTAGTGTGGGGTACTTTCTGCTGAGAGTTGTCAATAATGGCTTTGTTCTCTTGACAGGGTCCTCAAGGGTTCCAAGGATCTCCTGGAGAACCTGGTGAATCTGGTGCTGCTGTAAGTACCCAGCAGAGCATGATGAAACCCGTTTCATCTGAAACAGTAGTAATTCACTCCAACCTGTTTCACTAACACAGTTAAAATTGGATCCTAACAAGGAATCTGCGATCCTCAACTCCAGATTATATAGAAAGGATAACGACCCAGTATATTCCTGTGTAGGTTTGACAATGTAAGTGTGGTAATATTTAAGGAGATATTTGAAAAAAAGCTAGCGGAATTAGTATTGAAGTAGTGACAGCAGTTAGGAACAAACAATCGATAATGCCTGAATGGGTATGATGGGGGAAGTTGTATTTGCTATCCCTTTCTGTGGCTGTTCACTGAGCTTGGGGATCACCATTCACCAGAGTGTTTGACAGCTTTTACTTGGGCAAAGGTAAGGGAAAGGGCAATATCCCTTCCTGGTTCTAGGCTCAATGGACCTTTGTGATTCCGTGTTATAAACGATCATTTCTCTGTTGCAGGGTCCCATGGGTCCTCGAGGTCCTCCTGGACCTGCTGGTAAACCTGGTTCTGATGTAAGTTCTCTATAGTCACTGACAACATTTTAATTGTCATGTTTCTAAACTGGATTTAGACAATGCTGCATGGTAGCACAGGTAGGGCTAACAGGTGTTTGTATCTATCCCACAGGGTGAGGCTGGAAAACCTGGAAAAGCTGGTGAACGCGGACCCCCAGGTCCACAGGTACAGTAATGTCCCAACTGAAGTAACACAATCATCTCTGTGTTAAACATTCCAAACTGAAATAGGCATTACACTGGCTCAGAAGCTTGCTTGCCTCTATAGTCAGTATTTTACTCTCAAAGTAGAATACAATGAATAAGTATCCAGATGCTTAAAAGAAAACAAGAAAGAGGAATGATACACAAAGACAGAAAGACATGACATTCTGTTGAGCTACGGCCAATCCAATCCTGTAGATTAGAAATTAGCAAGTAACTTCCGTTTTCCAAAGAAGACTTTCAAATGGGTCTAATTCCATAATTAACACAGTTCCCAAGGATGTAAAGAATGAGCTGAGTCAGGTTTCTAAAACCACTCTCCCATAATCCAGATGAAGATTTCTATTTCACTCCTGGTGTCTATCTCACAAGCCAAGGCCTTTACAAAAATTACAAATCACTGTTGCACTATTTACGCTATGCCATAAAATAAGATTTGTGTGAATGTCAGCAGCTCCAGAACAGTTTTTACATGAAAGCATCTTTAATGACAAGCCAGTACATGTTGTATCACACGAAACGCCCAGCAATCAGTACAGGCCTGAGCAATTTTGTTATGACAAATTAGTACATGTCGAACATTTTGCTGTAAAAAAAATTCTATTATTTTATGGCATAAACGCAGATTATTTTCTTTCTCACTGTACAAAATAAAAAACAAAGCTGCATCTTGGTCCTGTGCAGGAGTGAAAGAAGCATTCAGTGCCTTTATAAAATAGAATGGCTGTCCTGATAATTGATAATAATTTTGTTCAATTTACACCTCAGTTACCTTGTCTCCTTTATTTTCCCAGGGTGCTCGTGGTTTCCCAGGAACCCCAGGTCTTCCAGGTGTCAAAGGTCACAGGGTCAGTATTCAGATATCAGACTAGTTTGGAAATCTGAGGCTAAAATGTGACACATTAAGCTGTTGTTAACAAATATTCAATAATAAGTAGTAAAGCCCATACTTCAGGGCTGTATGCTTTACTGCCTAGGTTTAATTAAATAAAAGTGATTTTAATCTTATTCATTGTTTTGTTTTTTACTCCACAGGGTTACCCAGGCCTTGACGGTGCTAAAGGTGAAGCCGGTGCTGTAGGTGCAAAGGTACAGAAAATAATTTAGTATTTCATTGGAGTGTAACTGGTACAGTCAAACCCAGAACTTTAGAAACTTCTGTCCATTGGGAGCCCTCAGTGAACAGATGTACCGAAGTTTGGGACAGGCATGTCCAGAAATGTACCAGGTTGGGAAAAGAGTGTGGAGAAATATTTGAGCTTGGGCTAAGCTTGTCTAGAGATTTTGCAGTCTATGTGTGAAAAATAAATCGGTCTGGGATGTTACTATGTTGAAATATCCCAATCAGGGATAAACCTGTCATGCTTTAGTCTGGGATAGACCTGTGCTAAAATGTCTGTGAGGGATGATCCTCTATTGAAACATTAAGTCTAAATTAGTCTGGCCCATATTTAAAGCTGTGTTTAAAATTGACACTGGCAAATAACGTGGGTCTGAATTTTCTTCCTCGAAGCTGCTTGCGTTCGAATAATCCTGCAGCAGTGCATTAGAGGAAATGATAGTGAGGTGTTCTGCTGAATTTTCACCCCCAAGGTTGGCATCTGAACTTCTCTTTCTCCCCCCGCACTCAATCCTGCACAATGGATGTGGGATGCCTTCACTGCTACAAATGACAATGAGGAGGTGACGCTGAGGATCTTCAAGGGTTTCAGTTCCCATCCATTGTTAATGCACCCACAGGAAGACTGGGATTATGGACATTGTAACAGAACAGGAGGAGCCTGTTTATTGTAGCGCAGATCTTAGGAAGGGAATTTACCTTTAAGACAGCCAAATGACTTCATGACACTTTCAAATAAGTCTCAAGCTTACTCTCTGTGCAAGTAGTCTGTTAGCAAGCAGCTGGTCAGTCAATGTAATATCAACGTAACCCAACATATAAACTCAGATGATATTTGGAAGTCTGAGATTTCATATAATTTACATCGCTGTTAATAAGCTTCCAGATATCTGTTTCAATAAGAACCTGATGTTGTTGTATGTTCTGTGGGCTAACATATAGAAAACACAATCACATTAGAGGCAAGAGGACTCTGTCTGAGTAGGAGGGTGAGGATGTATATTTGGTCACCTCATAAAGCACACCATCCTGCAGTCACCCCCAATGTCTAGTTAGCTATCAGAAGAGCTTACTCAGAACAATCTATCAGTGAACCTTGCTGCACATTATAGACCTCCTGCTCTCTTCAGCAATGGACTCCATATTCTTTGTGCAGTGCCATAACATTTTCCTCCTGGACTTCCAGAAGGGCTCAAGTAATTTTAGCACTTCAGAATGTTTCAGAATAACGAACTGATGCAGTTTACGACATGGGGCTCTGTTCTTGCATAAATCTTATCGATTTAATCCATAGCCCCAAGCCAAAGCTAAAGATCATTGTTTAAAACTGGCATATTTTTGGAATTTGTCAAACAGAAAATAAATTCCCTTTCAATGGATTCATTACAAGAGAACAAGGCTGAGCAGGCATTGGGCTAAGGAGTATTCACAACTATCTCAGATAAAGTACAAAACCCCCAAGATGAGGATTTGAAGGTCTTTCGAGGCAGATACTACACGTTGACCTTTAAGGTCAATACTTAAGGATAAGCTTAACATATATTGGTGGTGGTGGCATCCCAGGCAACAACAGGCAAGGGGCTTCAGAACAAAAAGGTAGATGAGAAAGCTTTTTTTCTTTTATTCATGCATGGGATGAGGGTGTCGCTGGCCAGGCAGCATTTATTGCCCATCCCTAATTGCCCAGAGGGCAGTTAAAAGTCAACCACATTGTTGTGGGTCTGGAGTCACATGTAGGCCAGACTTCCTTCCCTAAAGGACATTAGTGAACCAGACGGGTTTTTCGGACATTCAAAAATTAGATTCTTAATTCCAGATATTTTATTGAATTCAAATTCCACCATCTGCCGCGGCAGGATTCGAACTTGGGTCGAACGTTACCTGGGTGTCTAGATTAAGAGTCCAACAATGGCACCAGTAGGCCATTGCCTCCCCAGGGGCAGTCCTGTCTGTAGTAGTTGTTACAGGGGTTTGTCGGGGGATGGGAGGGTAGTTTCACATTGACATGGCAGTTGGGAAGAAGTCAGAAATCACAAAGGAAGCAACTGAATGTGTTAAAGTTAAATTTGATAATGGAGGGATTATCATTAATGGCTGTTGCTGACCTTTTTATTGTTTGCCTGCTCTTTGGCCACTGACCATTCTCTAAATGGTAACCCCCCTGCTCTCTCCAAACAGGGTGAAGCAGGCGCTGCTGGAGAGAATGGAGCTCCTGGTCCTATGGTGAGTATGAATCTCCCATATAACTCCCAGCATTGGTTCTCATAAAGCTACAAGCAGACAACTTTCATTTCTTATTGTTATGATTATGGTTGTAATGCAATTGTATTGATTCAAAATTCTGATGTACATTATCATGTTGAAACATTTTATTTGTTGCATCAAAATTAAAACAGCATCTGTTGTTATGATAATCAGCACAATCATTCTATTTGTAAAACTCAGAGGGTCCGCTATCTTTACTTTGCAGGGTCCACGTGGTCTGCCTGGTGAGAGAGGTCGTCCTGGAGCTCCTGGTTCAGCTGTAAGTAAATCACCAACCTTCAAGCTATTTTAATATAAACAGCAAGTACCAACACCGAAAGTGCACAGCAAGCTCACAGCTGATATCATCCAATAGGTGGCCTTCATTTCACATTCACAGAGAATCTCAGATTTAAATCAACTTCGAAACTTTGGGCTGAGTTTTATGTTTTCTTGACTAAATCCAAATTGCATGGAGTTTTCTGGAAGGTTTCTCACTGCAAGGCTTTGTGAGAATCTCACCATGCCACGCCCATAAATGATGGAGCGAGATGCTCCCAACACTGAGGTGGGCCTCGTTCATCTTCTCAGCTGATTAGGCCTCACACCTCGCCATAGCTCGTGTTGCTTAGACCCCTTTAAGAATCTGCCCCACATCTTAAAAGCAGGACAGATGAAGTTTAAATGGGCCAAAAAAAGACAAGGAAGTGGAAATGAGACAAGAGTTCTTTGAGAGAGGTGCAATGGGATAGGTAGGAAGGGGGTGTCAAATGGGATTTGAGAGAAAGATCTTTCAGAGAGCTAGCATAGGATTGATGGGCTGAATAGGCATCCTTCAGTGGTCTACAATTCGACGTAAACTAGAATACAGTAGATGATCTCTTTCCTCATCGCTGCTGATACACATTCTTACCTCATTTATTGCACAATTACACAGTCACGTTTTGTGCTTATTTTACTGCTAATTTGTTCTTCAAAGTAATCAGACAATGCTCTTTTGCATGGAAACTGGGATGTCACACTGATACCTACCCATTTATTTCACAGGGTGCCCGTGGTAATGATGGTCTGCCTGGTCCAGCCGGTCCTCCAGTAAGTATCTCTGGTTAAATATAGGTTTTCCACATATTACCAGGTGTGGAAGTCCTGTCTGTTTCAACCAAAAAAGTACATCTCCTCTTTTGTACTCACTGACCACTTCATTCAAATTATAATCTGCTTAGTTCTCACCATATTTACTTAT